TTCGTCATTCTTCTCCCTTTCCTCCTCTTGGTCTTCCTCGTATTCCTCATCGTCGCTGAAACCGGTGGTTGGATGTTCCTTCTCCTTCTCTTGCTCTTCCTCCTCTTCCATTTCCTCCTCTTGGTATTCCTCGTATTCCTCATCCTCGCTGAAGTCGGCGGTAGGGTGGTTGGTAGTGCTGTTCTGGCTGCTACTGAGATCAGTGATGCTGCTGATACTTATGCTGCTTGCATCATGGATGGCGGCATCTCTGTCGGCCGGACCCCAAGTATCGCGCTTGTTGCTGCTGGTGAAGTTGTCGCTGGTTGTGGAGGTGATGCTGGTGATGGCGCTGATGTGGGTGAAACCGGGTTCTGCGGCCGAAGAGCTCCACATTGAGGGTATGTCTGTGTCAGAGGAGAAGGAACCACCACGGGTGCCGGAAGTGTCCGCTTCAGTCATCAGGGATGGGGATTGGGACAGGGTGAGGGTAGAACCGGCTACAAGGCAAAAATCGCAGCAAAATGAGGAGATACATTAAAGGTTCGGATACTGCAAACAATGCTTAAGACGGATGCTAGTGTAACATATGGTGACATGACAATCTGTCGCAAGAACACAACAGTAGCGATCTGACAACTGAAATGACAATGACCTGAAGTGGACATCTGGAATATTATCTGTCTCTGAATAACTTAGCGAAATTCTACCTTGAGTCCTGTCTTCCCTGACGGGTCCTCGAAACATCTATGCCATATTGGCTGCCCTCATAGTAAGCTTGAAAGTTTTATCAGCTTGGGATATTTAATGCTCCTAAGTTGTATAAAGTCGGTAATATCGGTTCTAAAAATTGACCTTTATCTTAAACTGATTATCTATCATATTCTGTTTCTAATTGCACTAGTATTTTAATCAGTTGATGAAGACAGACCATCCCTCTAGCTGCAATTTCGCTCAATCGTTTGTCGAGTTAATCTATTGGGAAATATACTACCCACCTACACTGGTCTAAAGAACACAGCAAACATCAGTAGTAAGAAAGTGGAGTGAATAAATGCGTCACTTGCCTGTGCTGTGCTGGGGACGGGGACTCTCCTCGTCCACATATTGCAGATGGGGAGGCCCCAGATAATCTGCCAGAAAGCGAACCAGGAACTCGATAAGGAAGTCGGTCGTCATCGGCATCGTTAATGGCGTAAATGACTGCGGCTTTGCCTTCAAACCTAGGCGGCATCGATTAACTGGAGAAAGTCACCTAAAAATCGATCCCTTCCGTGGCGAGGCGAGGCGCGGACCCTCTGTAAAAGTGCAAATACTGTCGCCGGCCAAGATCCGAAAAATTATTACGCACTTAAAAATGACGATGAGAGATGACGATGAAAAGGCTTTTTATTTGGAGGTTCTTCAAATATCAAGTTTCCTGCCAGGCACCAGGAATAATGCTTCTCAGTAGACAGTTACTAGACATTATTACGCATTTGAACAGGATAACAGGCGGTCTTAAATGACATGAGCATTCCGTCCTCGAACTTAAGATGCTATTTGGGTGATTTAGAAATGCGGAGTTTGCCAGTATAACGAGCATAATACATCTTCACCTAGACAGATTCAGATAGATAGATGGAGGACGCTGGAAGGTAGTTTTACTTTCGTCAAATTAGTACTATCCAAATTTGCTAATTTCTTGCAGAAGGTGCAGATGGATGACGTCTTCGTTAGTCTACGCTTGAGGGAGTCTGATTGTTTGGCCTATTTGGTAGATCACGTATATGTGTACCCCTAAAATATATTAATGTTGATAGCATCTATAATGTGGTAAAATAATTATGCCACGGAAAAACCAGTTGTTTCATTTGGTTATTAACAAAAGTAATGTTTAATTTACTTAGAGACGTTTATTTCAGTCGTCCGTGTCCTACCGCCTCTTCTTCTCGCAAAGTAATGTACAACTGCTGACGGCGCGTTAGACCAAATACAACCTTTAACTTACCTGTAGGTTACTAATCTTGTGAGCAACTGGGAGGTTGCAATTAATGCCTGGAGTTGATACGACGTCGGTTCGTCCATCATTTTGCCCTGGGCGCTGGACGGACGTAGTTGTTTTGTATACTTTTCAGACCCTTTATTTTGTATGAACAAGCCACGCTCGGCTTACAGACGACGTAATAACTCAGTAATTCACTTTCCTAAGGGGACCATTTAGTCATCTCTGGCGACTACCGTATTTCAGTATGGGTAATGCGCCATATTTTTGATGATAGGGCAATCCGCATTGACCTGGGTTTGATGTTGGATCGTTCTCGCTCCTCATGGTACGCTTAGAGACAGCTTCGGTCGTGCCATCAACATGCGGCCTCGCCCGCCTCCGCTCTTCCTGGTTAACTTATGATACCGAGCCCAGGATAGAAAGGAGGGGGAGGAAGTTTGGTAACTGTAGCTCAAGACTGCACGCAGTAAAATCCAATACAATTTGTTGCAGGGGTTAGGTAAGCTAAGCTCTAGCATCTGCAGTCATCAGGCCCAGTTCCTTAAGATAAGAGAAGTCATGGGAGGCCAGAGTGGGAGGAACTGTTTATTCTGTACAGAAGGAATGGAGACTGGTTAGTAGGAAATTGACTGTCAGTCGAGCGAGCAGCTGCCCGCTACAGGAGCGTGTCTGAAATGAGGTTAGCGCGGAAATCGCTAAAGCGCCTGGAGCGGCATTTGTGTTAGTCGGTCTTGACAGGTGGTGGGTTAGGCAGACGGGAGTAGGCGGCCACTACATGTGAACTCG